CTATCACTGCCCCCAAATGCATGATGACTTGGGCAGGTGTCAGCTGGCTCCTCTGGAAACTGATTAGGAAGCCTTGGCTGAAGAGACACTGGCTAGTGTCCTGAATGTCCCTGAGTGCCTGATTTTGGGAAGGCGACCTTATAAGGAGGTCATCGAGGTACGGATGTTTATTAATTCCTTTGACATGCAGGCTGGCAATTAGTGAGCTGATCACTTTCGTGAATATGTGGGTTGCTGATGCCAACCCAAATGGCATGGCCCAGAACTGGAAGTGTTATCAACCAAAGGTGAATGTCAGATACTGTCTGTCCCAGGAAGTTATGGACACGTGATGATATGCCTCGGTCAAATCGATGGAGGCCACGAAGTCCTCTGGTTGCAGGGCTTCCACAATGGTCTTCAAGGTTTCTATCTTGAACTTCCTGTACTTCACAGACCTGTTCAGGAATCTGAGGTTGAAGATATCCCTCCAGTCCCTGCTCTTTTGGGGAACTGTGAAAAGAATAGATGCCTACAATGGCACAGGTTCAATGGCTGCAATCTCCAGCAGATGTCTGATGGCATCCTGTGTGCACTGTCTCTTGATGGGGCAGTGAGGAACTGGAGCACAGGAATCTGTTGTGAGGTGGAGTGACAAATTCTATTGAATAGCCATGGGCCATAGTTTCTTTTACCCAATACCCAGTGGCTGATAAATTCCAGGCTTGATGGGATTTTTGAAGCCATCCCCCCACCAGAGCTAGCCTGGTGTCACTTTTGTTGTTGCCACTGCTTTCCTCCCTTCCTGGAGGTTGGTGCTTGGGATGAATTGTTGTATTGACTTGTGGCTCTGAAGTTAGGTTTAGATTTGATCCACAACTGCCACTTGGAGTCTGATCTAAATTGTGGAAGCGTTCTATAGGAACAAAAGGACTATGAGCCATACTTTTTCTGCCATTTGTCTTCCCTTTTATAGGTGAATGGCACGACCTTCTTCTTGTCCATAGTCTCAATTAAGGTGTCCTCTAGGCTATCCCCAAACACTTTCCATCCAGTAAAGGACAAGGTGCCACATGAGACTTAGGTTGATTTCATATTACCTTTTTAAACCATATGGTTTTAAACCATACTGGTCCATCATGGAGGAAACTGGTACAGGGATGGCTGTTTCACACAGCATTTCCCTTCCGTTAAGGAGCCATCTCTGAAGCGCTGTGACCATTTCAAACTGTGCCGCTTTCCCCCCCGCCGCCATTTTCCTCCGTGTGCACGATCCCCTGAAAGGTTTTTTAAAAAAACATTTTATTTGGAGTGCTATGACGCTGATTTGATATCCTGTTATAGTGTCATAGTGTTCCCAACAGGACATTTTTTAAAAAAAGAAGAAGAGAGACTGCAGGCCTGGGGCGGGGGGGAGGTGCAAAAACCCCATCACTAGAGGAAGCACTACGGGGCATTTTAGACAGCCCACTGTAGTGATTCAGATCTGGAAGAAGGGATTGAAGTCCTGAGGAAGGCAGTTTTCATCAACAACGCCTCAGACACGTTTCCCAAATGGGAGACAACTGGCATTGTATGAACAGGTAAATATATTCCATTAGGAACCTGTTACTAAAACGGGTCTGTCTGAAATGACAGGGGAAAAAATGTTAGTAACCAATTCCTGAAACGGAATAAATAGGCTGTCTGAAAAATCCATCTTAGAAAGGGAGTCCACATTCCAACACTCAAGCCAGAGATTTCTTTTGGTTACCACTGTGGAAGCCACAGCCCTTGCTGAGAATTTCATAGTGTCCAGGCTAGCATCAGACATTAAGGCTGCTGCCCTTTCCAATTTGTGCATGGAACTTGTCAGGTACTGATTTAAATCTGGATATTTAAATCTTGGGACAGTTTTCGATGCCACATGTATGAGGTTCTTGCCATCAGAGAAGTGGCAGCAGAAGTTTTAATGGAGAAGGCAAATGTCTCTGCGGAGAGCTGGGTCACTTTTTTGATCACTGGGGTCTTTATGCTACCTTACCAGGTCATTCATTGCATTATTCTCCAGTTCTGTAAACTGATTCTAGTCCGAATGTATTGTGCTGTTTGCTTGTTTTTTCTTTCTGATTGTTAAATGTTTAAATTAAAGCATTTTATGTTTCTTAAAGCTTTTTGTTATTTTTGCACTGGAAGGAGGCCTAAAAGCCTAGAGGTACTGTAAAATAGGGGAAAGGTGAGGGTCGGAATTGATATATGACATTGAATTTAGATTTTAATTTTTGAAAGAAGGTTACTTCAGAGGGAGAGGCAGGTTTGGGGGAGAACAAACATATTTTTTCATAGACATTCAGGCACTGCATGGTTTATTTTTATCTTAGTTTTAGGTTTTTATTTACTCAGTGTAAAGCAACAAAATGGACGAGAGAAAAGTGATTAGACTCTGTAAAGGAACTGTCAAGTACTCAGAAATTCCATCTCGCGAGCACTGAAGTTTTTTACATGCACTGGCCCTGATCCAATGCCAGTCATGCATAAGCAGAAAGTTAGTGTGCAACTGATTCCATGAGAACATGGATGCAGACAGGCCATCGAAGGTACGCCAGAAGACGCGCCCCATTCAAATCAAAGGAGCATGGACAGACTAGACTGTCATTTAGCTGTGGATTTATGAACTTGATTCCCAGTTGGTGTGTGCATAATCCTGTTCACATACATGCATCACTAACTAATATGGGGTAAATTCTGCCAATTTTCAAAGATATTCAGCCATATGGATTAGAAACGGTGCCTCAGTATTATTGTGGCTTTCCTATTCCAATCAGGAGCTGCCAACTAAAGTACATTATTTAAAAACAAACTTTAATCCCATTGGGTCAATTAATGCTTTTGGCCTCAATTATTTTTAACAACAGGGTCTCCTTGAATATCAAAGACGGCAGGATCACAAAGGGTGCAGCCTACAGAGATGTGGAGCACCAGTAATTATTAACGTTGATAACCTTCTGTCCTAAGTAGACTGAAAGCTGGGCACACAGAGGAGGAAGAAACACAACATGCCAAGTCTGTACAGACAGAAGCTAATTCCCACCCCACCACCGGCTTCCCCTTGATGAATTTATTCCTCATGAATACAACCCCAATCGCTGCTTAGCACCCAGGTTTCCTTCCACCTGATAACTTACTTCAATTAGCACTCGGTGTCAGTGTTTCACCATGCTTAATAAGGGTTTTTTAAAATTAATTACATGTTTCTTCTTCTAAAAAACAACACTTCTCTCGTAATCCTGGTTCACCCATATACGTCAAAGGATGGGTTCACAAATAATCAAGGATTCTATCAATGCACATATAATGTGAAATCACAAGTACCAGAAGGGGAAGAAAGGTGAAAGTAGCTCTAGATAAGACAGTAAGGAGAGACACACATTCACAAGTCTGGCTTCCAATTTATAGGCTATAGTCTGGACCAGAGAAGAGAATGCACTGGTTCCACCTGATTCTCAAAGTTCTGCTCTGTAAGCACCACTGCAGTCCTGTTGCTAATAGGTACAGACATAACACACATTTACGATCATACACCAAAATACAATACTGTTATGACAGCCATCTGTAGCTGTCATTGAAGCGGGATTGAAAAATTTCCAGAAAAAATTTCCATTGCTTTTGTTTTTCCACAGAAATTTTTCAATTTCTAAAGATTCATTATTAGATAAAATTAATGATGAGTAGATACCACTGCCAAAACCATGTCAGGCAACTTTGGCAGTTTCAAAGTTAAAGTTTTTCAGGGAGAGTATGTGAATGTTTTATTTTCACATTGGGGGTCAGGGATAAAAACCACAGATACATAAAATAATATGTATCTTTACAAAGCAGATTATGAATTCACCTGGTTGAATAATAAAGGTACAATTTATATTTATAAATCTCCTTTCACATGGTAGAAGAGAAACTGTAATCCCCAACCTAATGCAGAACCAACTAATAATGCGAGTCCTCCCCTCTGCAGTTTTAGAGGGGAGATATAAAACGACTCCCATGAAGGAGAGGATTTGTCTGTGTGGTATCAAAGTGGTGGAATCAGTCGAGCATGTAATGTTTCACTGTCGCTTCTATCAGGAAGCTTTTTCTCTACTTAATAATCTTTCAGGATGTTCCAATGTTTTTTTAAAGAAACTTTTAATGGGTGCTAATCAACAGGCTACTATTAGTTGTGCCAAAAAAAATTTCAGTAGCCTGTAGAATTCATAGAGAAATTTTATGTACAGATTTTAACTAATTAATGCCAATAGATCAGACCAACTTTACTTTCTAATGACTTTACTGTAAAGCTTTTATATTTGATTTGTACTGGTCGTTGGCCGAATAAAGAAATTGATTGATAGAATAATATTATAGAGTGTGACAGAGAAAACAAGATGTCCCAGTGACCTCTGTGGAAAAGTTAAATTTCTTTTGAAATAGATGAGTGGAAAGCCACATCCACAGTGTGTTCTACAAAGTTCTTTGAATGGACTAAAATTATTGTGTCCAAAGTTACCAATGCCATCGTTTTCCCTTTAAACATTAAGGGAATTACATGTCTTTAAATATTATTACAATAAAAACTATTTTATTACAATAAAAACTATTTCCACGTAAAGCTTTAAAGTTGTTTGAATATAACACTTAAAACCACACTGATTTTCCCCCAGTCAAATATTTCATCATTCTATTTCCCCCCCAGAAAACTCACATCACTGATGTTCTCCATAGCCATGTGAAGAGCAAAAGCCACCTAATGCCAAGCTAGTGCTTTGCAGTCCCTTCTGTAGATCTTGAATTCATCTATGATACCAGATGTAGACAGACATCTTGTGTGGCCAAAAATAACTTCCTTTTTCATTGCTAATATGCAATCCACTACATGATTTCTGCTAATGACAGTAAAAACTTCAAACTATACCTGAACAGCTAAGATCTGGGTTTTGTTTTTTTTAAAGAGAGAGAATATACTTTCTAAATGCAGTATGTTCCATTTGTCAGTAGAATATACCTACCATTTCCCTGAATGCTGTTTCGATGGCTCCTATAACAAGGCACTCGTGGGAGACCTTCTTCTCTGTAAAGAAACGAGTTGGTGGGGTGCCAGGTGATCCTGGAGCTCCAACACTCCCACGTAAGGAGGCAGCCCTGGTTAGAGTTCTGTTGTTTGTATTCATGCTCTCTGGGTCCTCCCCCAAGCAGGTTGGGGGAGGGACAGCAGAGTTTTTCAGGATATCCACAATTTCCTGGAGTTGCTCCGCAATGTGGTGCTGAAGCACTTTTGATGCTACAACAGCTGCTCCAGATCCTGCGTGCCCATCAAATAATGACCAGTAGTAGAAAGAGATGCCATCTGATTCCTGATTAAGGAAGTATGTATAAAACAAACAAAAAGCACAAATGAACGAATTTTCAACAATGCGCAGGTATGAGTTTCTCATTCTAGAATCCCCCAATAAATTTTTAGAGAGGCAAAGATTACGATCTGATCAGTATGCCTACCTGTGAGAAGCTGCAAGACCATTTTTATATTCTATACTAATTTCCTCAGAATAGTTAACAGTTCTATCCTCACTATCACACCAACAACAACAAAAGATTGTTAGAAGGAAGAAAGCTCACTTTTCAGTCCAACTACAGAACCATGCAGGAAAAGCAGCAGCCTTCCATTATGGAGCCTGAAAATTCTATACCTCATAAAATCCAGGCAATTTGTCCCATCCATTTGACATTTGCCACAGAGAATCCCCCTGCTGAGGAGAAAATCTGTTCAAAGTCCAGACAGTTCAGCTGAAAAAACAGCAGCTATGGTGGTGGTGGTGGTGGGTCTTTAAAGGGGTAGTTCCTTGTGTTTGCTGTGGTGTTTTTGCTCACAGATAACATGCAATGTTCAGGTTTCATTTGCCTGAAATATGCCTGGGGCATGCCCTTGCCGCTTCTATTAACAACTATTGCATACTATCAAAGACATGAAGCGTCAAACATTTTAATTTTATAGCGAACTAGCAGCAATTTATCTGGGTATGTCCAGAAGCTAAAGTAAATGTTCTCCATGGAGAGTTCCTGTTGGTCTCCAAGGCGCCCCTGGACTCGTATTTAGCTCTTCTACTGCAGACCAACACGGTTACCCTCCTGAAACCTTCTCCATGGAAGGCTTGTAAAAAAGAAAAATAGTTGGCACCAGACAATAACTCCTGATATTGAAAAATCCCAGCCACTGTTTCTGAAACTGTTATTGTTCATTCCGTAGCTTAGAGCACTGGATTGGGGACCCAAGAGCATGTTGCACTGGGCCCCTACAATTTGTAAGGTATTTTTAATTGTTGTGCCATGGATTTTAATCACCAGCTAGTGACCTTTTTGTTCTGTTTTAGCATGGTGTCAGACTGGTTCCCTGTTTTATTTTATTTCATTTATTTATTTAATTTAGATTTGTATCCAGCCTTCCCAGTGGCTCAGAGCGGCTAACGTGCGGAAAAGCCGAATTGAATAGATAAAAATACAATAAAATAAACAACATTTAAAACCACAATAAAACCCATACAATAATCAAGGTGCTCTAATATTCCTATGTAAGTCACCCAAGATGGGAAACAATAAGCCCAATTCGGCGGCCAGCTGTCTCAATAGCACAGTCTCCTGCAGCGCTGTTCTATGCGCTTCTGCCAGGCGATGCTTGCACCCCATGATAGGGGCTGATGATGAAACACTACCACGATGGTGGGATAGTGGCGGCGGCGGCGCCTACTCAAAAGCCTGGCAGAAGAGCTCCGTCTTACAGGCCCTGCGGAACTGCACAAGGTCCCGCAGGGCCCGGATCTCCTCTGGGAGCTCATTCCACTAGGTAGGAGCCGCCACCGAAAACGCCCTGGCCCTAGTAGGGGCAAACGTAACCTCTCGGGGGCCTGGAACTTCCAGGAGATGGAGGCTCCCCGATCGTAGTGCTCTAGGGGGAACATACGGGGAGAGGCGGTCCTTCAGGTAAGCCGGACCCCAGCCATTTAGGGCTTCAAAGGTAAGAACCAGCACTTTGAAGTGAATCCGGTATGCTATTGGCAGCCAGTGCAGCGCTTGCAGCCCAGGCTGGATGTGGTCTCACCTAGAGAGGCCCATCAACAGCCTGGCCGCAGCATTCTGCACTAGCTGCAGCTTCCGGATTTGCGACAGAGGCAACCCTAAGTAGAGAGCGTTACAGTAGTCAAGCCTCGAGGTGACCATCGCATGGATCACAGTGGCCAGGTCTTCACAGTCAAGGTAGGGGACCAACTGCCGAGCCAGCCGCAGATGGTAAAAGACCGCCATGGCAGTGGTTGCCACCTGGACCTCCATCATTAACGAGGAGTCCAGGAGCACCCCCAAGCTCCTAACCTCCCACGCAGGCACCAACGGCACCCCGTCGAAGGCCAGGAGAGGGAGCCCCAATGTGATCATACTGTATTAAAGCCCACAATTTTAAAGGGGGCATGGTTCAGTTTGGCCTATCACGGTAACAGATGAAGGAGATGCAAACACATTAGATTGAGGTTTTAATGGTTGGGGGTTTTTTTTTGGGGGGGGGGACACGAGTGTTGGACAATTTGTGGAATGACAGTGGATCAGAGCTCTATGATCAAGCATTTGTTTTTGCTGCACTTATTTAATTTCTGCTTTGACACACTTCCTCAAACCCAGCATCAAGCTGAAAGAGTGCAAAGAGCAAGTAGATGGAACTTAAAAAAAACCCAAGCATAATATTTGTGGCTGTATAGAATGTCCACAGAACTTAAGCTGTTGCTTAATATACCACTCCCACAAGATCAAGCGATTTAACTACTGTTTTAAGATAAAGCCTTTGTTTAAAAAAAACCCCTAGAATATTAAGAATCCCCATTCGTTGAAAAGGCTTACAACTGTAGAAGCTTACAGGATCAATGTACCAGAAAGTCACAAATTTAGTTATTTGGTACTCCTTAATGCCTCACCTTTGAGATGGAGAAAATGGACCACTTTCATTTGGGGCAACCTACAAACCTACCACTACATCCAACCCATACATGCGTACATCCATTTGTGAGAAAGAGCCAATATACATACCCTTAATGGAGTGGGAGACAAGTAGCTGGATAAGTTTGGGGGTTGCATCACATGTTAAGCCATACATGTGTTGACTATAACATGAAAATTACTCAACACACATAAAAAGAACAATAAAGTGTAGACTATAAACACAGCTTGTATGTGAATTTACTGTAACTTGAGAAGAGGACTAATATGTACCAGGAGAAAAAGAAGAAGGGGGGGGGAGGAGAAGAAGAAGAACGGATTTATACCCCGCCCTTCACTTGGAGTATCAGAGTGGCTTACAAACTCCTTTCCCTTCCCCTCCCCACAACAAGCACCCTGTGAGGTAGGTGGGGCTGAGAGAGCTCTTTCAAGAACTGCTCTTTCAAGAACAACTCTGACAGAACTTTGGCTTGCCCAAGGTCATCCAGCAGCTGCAAGTGGAGAAGTGGGGGAATCAAACCAGGTTTTCCCAGATTAGAGTCCGCGCACTTAACCACTACACCAAGCATTTCATCAAGTAAACTCTTGACAGATCGTTTCACAATTTTATTTTATGTTTATAAATTTATATGCTGCTTTCTCCCAAGCCCCTTTCAACAATAAAGTAATTTATAAAACATGAACTACAAAAACATGAACTACATGTATAACTATATATGTATAACTACACAGTATAACTATACACAGTTTTAATAATTATGCACAGTTTATTAAAACTAACATTTTAAGAACCCATCACCAAAACATACAGATGATTAAGAACGAGGTTACTTACAGCATTCTCTTTTAGTTGTAACCCTTCCCCATTTGGCAATGATGACCTCCGCTTGGTAGATACAGTTTTGTTTGGTGTAGAATTTGTTACTCCTGCTTTCTTCTTTACAGTAATTACTTCACAACTGGCCTGGTCTTCATTGTGTGTACTTTTTCCTGCATTGATCACCCTATTTTTGAAAAAAGCACAAAAAAAATGAAATATGTATTTTTTTTTTTGGATTTCCTGGTCAGACTGTTTAACACACTCTTCATTCCCATTTCTCTCTCCCACTTTCTCTCCTGCCCACATATGGGTAAGTATTAACTGTCATGAAGATCAGCACTGGAAAACTCTAAAGGGACATAAAGCTTGCTGTGAGAACCTTGGACAGAAGACAAGGAAGACAATACTCAAAGAATCTCATCACCATGCTGTTAACTCAACAGCCTGTCCAACTATAATGGCCAGATGGGCACTCCTGTTGCCAGAGGCACTGCCTTTACTCTTGGGTAGCTCCATAGCAAGGGCACCACACTTCTCACCTGATCCAGAGACCCACAAAACTCAGGCCAAGGAAGGCACTCCTGGTTCTGAAATACAGAGCTAGCCACAGCTCTGAAAAAGGGGTCTCCATTTTCAGGTGACAGGCAACCTCAGAGCAAGCCTCCAGTCTTCCCCCTCCACCCAGCAGAGATTGTGCTTATGGAATGACAATGGGTTCCATCAGGTAAAGTATCTACATTTCTAAAATCTTTTCAGAGGCCACCTGGCAGATAACTCTGTCTCCAGTAATTCTTTGTCTGAATACTTGTCTTTTTTGCTCTGTCCCTCAGGATACTGGGATAAACCAATCAATCATTCAAATGTTTAGCCCATCTTTTGTCTATACTTGAGAGCCTTTTCAAAATACCCTGGCCAGGATCATTAGTGGTCAGATAATCCATTTAACTAGCCACCCAGCACCTGGCTTCTATTATTAAATCCAGACCCTGCCTCTCTGGAAGCTCATTGGTCACATATAGGCCTTGCCCATCCTGATGCCACACACCCTTGGGACTCCATTGGTCCAGGAAATCTATTGTTCTCACCTGAGAACCAGCCCCCAGGACCGCCCATTGGTCTGCATTGTCCGTCAATGGGTATATCCCATCAAACACATGGCCTCAGACCGTGTGTTGTGTGCCATAATCCAAAATGGCAGTCCACCCCTGAACTCTCTGAGTTTAGACCACAATCCATGGACCTCTGCACATCTGGACCGGTTGTATAACCCCTCTATAAACTATCAATTACCTCTGCTTCCTTAGTTCTATATTGTGTGTGAGAGAGTGTTTGAATATTGTTTGTATGTTTAGTAAAGAAATCATTATTTTAGCCACCCAGTTTCCATGTCTATTCCTGGGTTCTTGGGAATTCTAACTCTGGTGTACACAGGTCTGATCTTATAGTTAAGCCAATTGCATATTAATAATTATAATTCCCCATCTTTATTAAATAGTAGAGCAATTTGGCTAACACTTCAGATGGTTCATAAGCTGCACACAATGGTGTAACAGATACTGAGTGACCATCTCATCCAGTTATTTGCAATGATTCCTGCCAGACAAACATCAGTTCTGAAGGGAACAGCTCAGAGTCAAATTTGCGCTACACAGTTACCTTCTATTATTCAAATAATGCCTGTATTCTACAGTGGTACGTACAGTCCTGCATACGTTTACTGAACATGTTGATCTTCTCTTAATTTGAAACTGTATTGTGCTGTATGTACCACCACCTACCTTCCATGTCAAACTCTGCACTGTTTTTGCCCCATTACTCAATATGGGAAAAGCTTATTTTCAAAATGCATATGGAGCGTTACCAACTTTGTCAGCTTATTTCACCCACATTATGTGCCACAATGAGATCACAGAATATAATCAGTAGGGACTGCCAAGAATCCAAGGTGGCACAGTGCAGTCTCCAACTAAGAAATTTCCTGTGCACAATGTGCCAAATTTTTCCTCCACCTTCCTCCTTACCAAATTATGACAGGCCACCTGACCATATTGGCAGAAAACAACAGAACAAACCATCACAGAATCTGAAACTGCTGGGTTAATGTTTTTTTAAAAAAAAACAAAAAAACCCCACACACATATACTCAGTTCCAGTGCAACAACTTTAGTTCCCTATAACCACTGCGACCTAGGCTCATCTTAGGTCATATCTAGTTGACGTGCAATAACTCCCCTGCCAAGCTGCAAAGATGCTTCTGTTTTGTTCATGTTCCTCCTCACCCATCCCGGTGGCTGGACAAGCTTCCCTGTCTGTTTTGCATCAGGCAAATAAATAGGCCTCTGTCCACCAGAGAATAAAAGAAAAAGAACCAGCAAAAGAAGCAGGATTACACTGAATGCAACCACCCTAACTAGAATAGAACAAGGGTGCTTTCACATCTGCTAAATAATTCAGTTTTAATCCACTTCAGCGACCATTTGCAAGTGGATATTGCCATTTCACACAGTAAAATCCAGTAGCAAAGTACACTGAAAAAGGACTGAAAGTGTATTATTTAGTATGTGTGAAAACACCCAAAGTTTGAGTCCAGTGGCACTTTTAAGACCAACGAAGTTTAACTCTGGTTATAAGCCGTTGTGTGCATGCACACTTATCCCAGGGAGTAACTGAGAATTGTCCAACACCTGGTATTCAGACCATTAATCAAGAATCTCCAGTAACTAATAGTTGTGCTCTTAGCCACTAACAGACTCCTTCACAAACTGTATCTCTTTTATCAATATACAAGATTCCTGCCCACATATGGGTAACTGTCATTTGTCCAACATTTCTCATCTGTAGCGCACAAATGGCCTGTCAAATTCCATTTCACTGCTTAGACTGAACTGGCCTGAACACACAGCGCAGATACCCAATCTGGACCCCCCTCCCAAAAAAATTTGGAATCTGGGCCATACCTTTCTCTCCTTTGTCCAATCAGTTTACATATCTATGACCCTTCCTTTGTTTCCAGCCCTGAAAACAATATTTCATTTGGGGGCTTGGCTCTTTGCATGACTAGCTATAGCTCTCCTTGCTTTTTTCCCCTTTCTCTGTTTTGGTCTCTTGCCACCCTTCTTCAGTAGAGTAGCCTGCCTAACCACACAGCACAATGTAGGATGCCAACTAAGTCTGCAGTCAGCACAGCTCTCCTAAGCATTACATAAACACCAGCTGGGAAAGCCAGATGACACCTCAGATGACAGGGAATGCGCAAGGGCTTCCATCTCTCTGTCCTATATTATACTTCCCTTTCCTTTTATACCCTTAGAAGCTAATTGGTTCACAGATCTTGAGCAGCAGAAGATACTTGCTTCTTCTTCTGATGTAAGGGCTAAAAGGACTGAGACAAATTTTGCAGTCGCTAGAATAAATTTAGGATCCTTATTGCTGAGCAAAAGAGACAGGGTTTCCAGAGTGTAGGTGCACAGTTGGTTGACTAAACACTTAATATAGTGATCCCTTATATTCTGAAAGTGCACACATATTCTGAAAGTGCCCACATTCAACCATACATGGAATACAGGGGGGGGGGGCACTTTTGTGACAGAAATTCTCAGAAAACCTACTTTGCATACCGGGTAAAATGGTGGAAACCATTTAAACTTATGTTAAAAAATTGTACTCAACAACAGAAGCAAAATATACAAAATATTTCAGGAATAGAGGTTAAAAAAAATCAAATATTTAGGAATAACTTTGACCAACAGATATAGCTCATCGTATAAAGACAATTACATGAAACTTATGTTGGAACTCCAAAAGGATCTTGCAAATTGGAATCATTTACAACTATCATTCATGGGAAGAATAGCAACAGTAAAGATGAACATCTTACCACGATTGATCTTTCTATTTCAGACAATTCCAAGAATAAAAAAACAAAACTATTTTAAAGAATTAGAAAAGCTGATAAACCAATTTATATGGGAAGGCAAAAAACCAAGAATTAAATTAAAACTATTACAAGATGTAAAAAAAAGAGGAGGATTTGCATTACCGTTCTGGCAGTTGTACTATAAAGCCACTGCTCTTACATGGGTGAAGGAATGGATTACATTGGAAGATATGAGACTTTTGAAACTAGGTCATGACTTAAAAATGGGTTGGCATGCTTTTGTTTGGTATGGGAAAAGTAACAAACAAATACTTTAAACAACACATACTTAAAGCAGAACTGTTTAAGGTTTGGGAACAAACACAAAAACAATACTACAATAAGACACCAAAATGGATTTCGCCACTAGAAGCATTTATAAACCCAATGATATTTTCCAAAGAGTATTTGTGGAAATATCAAGACCTGCTAGATGATCAAGACAACTTAATCCAGCAGGAAAAGCTAAAGGAAAAAGGCATCAATTTGAATTGGTGAGAAAGAGTGCAATGCCAGTATATCCTACAGAATGGCTCTATTTGCCTTGGCTGCAAAGAAAATACGGGCCAATGCTGTTCTTATGGGAACTAGTTAATATTGATCTTAGTGGGTACGTTTTGATTCAATTAATTGCTTATAACTTTGGTTTTATGGTTTTATA